ATTGACTATAATTAATTTTTTTTAATAATTTAATCACTAAATTCAATTATTAAAATTTATTGGTTGACAACTTAGGTATAGTTCGAAATCGGTTTTTTACAGAGGTTGAATTTCAATACATATCGGTGATAATAATTTAAAAAGGTGGAATTTGACGTTCATTGGAGGTCAAATAACAATTTGAGATTATTTTGAAAAATAATAATGAATATTTTATTCATTTTGTTTTTCACTTAAACGATATTGATTATAATTAATTTGTTTTAAATAATTCAATCACTGATTACAACATTTATTAAATATATGAATCTATTGTGTGAGTGAATGCCAACTCTGGTTGAGTCCAGCAAACACTGATGGATACAGTGTATGAGTTCGGGTTTATATGCATTTAGATGTGTTTTACATATAATGTACATTACATAGGTATTGGTGTGAATGTGCTAAACAGGTATATTGGGTGACAATAGGAAAAACATGAAAATGAACCAGTGTTATTTATACACGCCGTATACTCAACTTTGAATTGCTTTTCAGGATAGACGTCTAAACAATTTTTTGAGGTTATTTTTTATTTTTGGTAACAATTTTCATGTGTCCTTCAGACAACTCCGTTGCCCTAAATCAGTGGACGGTCTGAGACAGTCTAGCGTCCGTATTACCGAGGGCACGCCGACTACCCTACGCCATCGGTATGAACATGTTTGAATTCGGGCCTAATAAAGCTTCCCCTAAGGGACGCGAACTCACATTGATGCGATGCGCACACTTCAAACATTACTTTTTAAGGCAGTGCTTTTAGCCCATTGCGCAAGACCTCAGACCAGGAATGTCAGGTTATATTAGACATTGTATGCATTGGGAGAACTGGTAGTCACAGGTAGTGACAAGACTTGTATTGAAGGCTCGGGTGTCCGTCACGTATGACAAACGGGGTAACCATAAAATGGGGTAATTTTAAACCGTTATACTTTTACATTAGATATAAAAATATGATAAAAACTTGTATTTACGTAAATACACATTAAATCATAATTGCACTCAAATTTTAATATTGTATAAATTCATCAATTAATACAACCTTTAAATTTAATTATATTTTAGTTTTTTATTAAACGTGTTCTCAATTGTTTACAGTTTTAAATAAAGTTTAGATTTAACAAAAACTATTTTAACTTAAATGTCATATAATATGTAACTTATGATTTCACGGGAAAAGTGGCGATAATAACGGGTTCGAGTTTAGGCATCGGTGCCGCCACTGCTCTACTATTGGCCAAAAGTGGAGCTAATGTTGTAATCACTGGACGTAATGCCGATAATGTGTCCAAAATTTGCAACGAGTGTACAGAAGTGTCACTAAAAGGTCTGAAAGCACTTCCAGTGGTGGCAGACGTGACCAAAGAGGAAGATGTCGACCGACTTCTCGACACTACTATTAAAACGTTTGGCAAATTAGATATTTTGGTGAATAACGCGGGCATCGGATCCCGCGCTCCCATCACTGATGCCGACTATATTCACAAATTAAAGGCAGTGTTTGACACAAACCTTAATTCTGTGATATATTTAACCCATAAATCAATTCAATATTTTGAGAAAACTAAAGGAAATATAATTAACATCTCGAGTATCGCTGGCATACAATCCGTGAGTATATTATAAATGTAGTTAATTTATGTATGAATAACATTCAATTCACATTAGAGTGGAGGCATATCTCCGTATCACATGTCTAAAGCAGCTCTCGATATGTTTACCAAATGTATTGCCGTTGATTTGGGCCCAAAAGGCATACGAGTTAATTCAGTCAAGTATTTATACCTTGTTTAAATAATTATTATTATCATATACGTGAAATAACTTTAATCAATAATTGATCATGGTCACATTTGCATAGTCCGGGTGCTATTCGCACAGCAATCATCCGCGACAGTAAAATGACTGAACAACAAACTCAAAGCCTATGGGATCGGGTGAAGAGCCGATATCCTGTGGGCCGGTGTGGAGAGCCGTTAGATATCGCCAACACTGTTCCCTACCTGGCCAGTGACCATGCTAGTTTTATTACGGGCACTATTATGGTGGCTGATGGCGGACACCTGGCAGCTAATGTTCGCATAAATTTTGATTAACAAACTTTGAAACACTTATGTTTTATATAATCAATTGTTTATTTTAAAATTTTGATTTATATAAATTATATTTTCAAAATTATTTTTGTTAAATGAACTAAATTAATGAAATTTTTAATTCTCTAATGATTTTTAAATATAAAATATATTTCAAATTTTTACCGTATTTTTAAATTTATTAACAATAGTTATAATACAGGGATAAGTAGGGGTAATATATTTGAAAT